TGTAGATAGCGCAAATTTTTAATATCGATAAAAAAACAATTAAAATCAATTTTTGGGTTTGAAATTATATTATAATCATAAGGGTGTCCACATTTTAAGTTCATCTATTCGTAAGACACTTTTAAATAACTCTTTCTTGTAAAATACAAACATTTTAAATACTTGCGACCTCTCCTAACCCGCTGCACTGTTTTTTTTTTTTATGTAGAGAGCTGTTTATTGCACCGGACCCTTACCGGAATATTCATAGACCGCTTTGAAACAATTATCATACTAAGACACCCGTTGAAAATCCGACCACTGGGAACCCGGGAAAGCTGTTTAAACATACGGGCCAGCGTGGAATTAATCACGGCTCGCGTGCGCCGGCTGCGGCGATCCCCAACACTCGACGGGAGACTTTAATCCGGGCGACGTCACCGGTTGGCCCTGTATGAGGGCGTTACACGGTTTTCGCATTTAGATCATCTAAGAAGCGATCAAATACAAGTGTAGAATGCTCCCACGGCGCAATCACTGTGCCAGTTAACACGGATTAAACATAATATTCTAGTGTAGCCCAAGGCCAATATAATATATTTATACACTCTGATGAATGATAAAAAAAAACTTGCCGGAAGCTTTGTGAAAATCCCCGACAAAACCAAATATGTTTAATCGGGATACTAGCCGTATCTAAAACGAACAACCGTTGGGAAAAACAACAGAGTTGAGATTGCCATGTGGAAAACCAAATGATATTATTATGTTGCCTTAAAATCGTTGATATGCACTTACATTGCACTTACGTCCAGTTATAAGGTTGAGTACATTAATGTGTTTGAAAAGTCATCAGGAACTTCAGGCAATAATAAACTCAACTCTAATGCGTTATTGAATAGCCGGTTTTAAAACTTTAGTTGCAGCTTTAGTCATTCCAAAAATAATAGAAGTTGTTTAAATTATTAAATTTAAGTGTCATTCATTATTTTGAAACTGATTATAGCTTTTTTCCTTCATTTTTAGCCTTATAAAATATACTTAGATGATACCTGTACACAAGTGTGTAAAGAAGTTAGTTAAGTAGTTAAAAAGAAGCCCTCACTTTGCACAGTTTAAGTCTTAATAAAATAATTAACCGTTTTTAAAGGGGCGAGAACGCCTTCTTTTTTAGATCTAGTTAAGTAAATATTTTAGAGTAGCCTAGATTAATGATATCCTTGTACCAACTTAAATCTCACTCAGCTTCTGACCATGGCCGATGTGTGTTGTAACTTGTATAAAAGACAATATAGTATCAATACAATATAATGTACAGTAAGGGGCTAAACGAAATGGGAGATAATCCAAAGAAGCTAGTCGGGGCCTATCGAAACCCGAATGGAAATGTTGAATTTTCAGACGATTAATTTTGTTTTCAGTAATCATAATATTGTTACTACGAGTGCGTGTGCACAATGGACGTTTCCATCGCTTTCGGTCGAATAGGTTCCTATTTATCAACGTTAACTCAAGTAACCGTAACTGTATATACATTATAACATTATGGGCGGACCGACACTCGCTGTGTGTATGTATGGCAGTCGTCGGAATTACACGGTCAAAACCCGTGTGTTTGTATAATACTATATTTATTATCATTTTTTTTTTTTATATATATTTTACACAAGTAATACACGTTGCGAGGGCAAACAGAAGGAAATCGTAAATCACCAGCAGTGTCCTGTGACTAGGCTCGGCTCGACGGCGATTTCTGCGAAACGATCCTTTTTCAACACCTAAACAAGAGAAGCACTGTGCCCAGGAATATTGCGATCATTGCCGCTGAATGGACATTGTGCTCGACCCTGCGGGATGCCTCTTCGGCGCGCCGGCAGATACACGGACAATATAATGATATAAAATAAAATAAATATATATATATATATATTAAATTTATCATTTACACGATCCACCCCCCCCCTTCCTCTCGTCCATTAACGGGATACAATACTTAAGGGCAGAGGGGACCATAAACGACAATATCATCCGATGTTGACACCGTCCGCTGAAAATCGATTTCAGCTAATCCGAACGATGCGCCCATTGAAAACGCATTACCTCTCTGCATAGGTGTTTACTGTGTCGGCACACAGCCGTCAACAGTCAACACGGATTTTGGATCTCTACCGGAATGATATACGGTGTACAAATCCGGCACACAATACGGTTATTATACGGTATAGTGCCGTTGAGTGACGAATGGCCAAAGGAACGCGCGTTTATAGAACTAGTAGTTGGTTTTATTAAGGATCTTGGGATGAAGTACAGTAGTTTTGTTTTTAAATGTAACTAGGCTTAAATCAGTCAAGTGCAATTTAAAATGATTCACTACCACGCCAAAAAAGAAACAAGAGTTTATAGTATGGACATTCAAAAGTTGGTTGGTGGACAATTACCTTTTAGTTTTGAACGATAGATAATATATTTGGAATCGTTTCAATAAACAAAATCTTGACCGATACACTTATTGCAAACATTATAATATGTTTTTAAGAAAGTGGCACACTCCTATTTACAGAAGGATTAGATAAAGGAAATTTTTCCCAGAATCTCAGTGTTAAGATAAAATTAAAGCGTATACTACGTATATATATATATATATATATACACAGTTGAAATAATTTTTTAGAGCAAAAACAATTAATTATTAAATCGAAAAATAATAATAACGACAAAGGCTGCATAGCTTTGTTGCTTAATTTAATTTTGAAAGTATGCCAAAGTACAGACCAAGGAATCATTAAGTCTGTTAAACTTACACAATTGATTGCTCAGAAATGTGATGTCAGATAAAATTCCATGTTTTACTTACAAATTTAAGAACACAACTTATTTTATTAATATTAAGGCAAAATTTTGGTCATAACTCTCCGTTTAATCGTATGTAACTCTCCTGTGTACCAAATTGTGGTTTACATCACGATACCTAGCCATGTAAAAGAACAAGTTGTTTTAACTTAATAGTTAATTTATTATATTTATGAATTAAATTGTCTTGTACTTATATTGATATTCTTTCAATATTTCAGGTATTATTTAAATAATGTTAATAATCTGTACTTATTGCCTTTTGATGAGCGTTACTTATAATAAATAATAATATTAGTGGGATTTCATAATTTTAACTTTAAAAACAACAACAATTTTGCCTGGCTCACATTTTACTCTATTAACTTCCAATGTAAATTGTGTTGCTATAAACAAATCTTAGTATCAAAATAAATATTTACATATTCACATGCTTTGTGTTTAATTGATAATTTTAAATTACCGTGACCAGTTATGGATTGTAATGAAAATTCTGTAAGAACGGGATTACATTTATATATATATATATATATATATATATATACTTATATGTATGTATGTGTATATGTATCAAGTTAAAATTATTTGTGTACGTTACAGGAAAAAAACGATGATTCCGAAGTCAGATTGGGTCGGTTTAAAAATCCAAAAGAATTTTTGAAAAGTATATTGGAAACCAATAATGGTCTTTTAAACGACAACACTTGCGCCTCCTTTTGGGTAATAACATGTCAATTTTCGATTGCTATTTCACACTGTAATTAGTTATTTAATATATTTAACCGTTTATGTTTAAGCCGTCGGTTCCCGTGCCAAACGCGACCGAAAAATGTCTTAGTAAGTACAACAATTTAATGGAAACCAACAATGATTTGTTCAATAGGAATAAAGAACTCGAAGAAGAAAATGAAGAATTAAAGGAAAAGCTAGATTATTACGAAAATATTGAAGTCAAAAATAAACAGTAGGATCTTATTAAACGTTTCAGGTGGTTTACTGAGCAAGACGCTTTTGTCGTGATTTTCAGATTAATTTGGGAACTTAATTTATCGCAAAAACGTGAGTCCGAGCACAAATGCCAAATGGAAGAAATGAAATGTCTGGTAACTGATAAAGAAGATGAAATTATAAACCTCACACAAAAAATTTGTTACACGACCCAGCACAATGACGAGAAACAAGTAATTTGCAGGTTTTAGTAATAATTATGATAACAATGATAAACATGAGTATTATATTTTATAAAATTTAATTCAAAGATATCAATATTTTCCTTGAAGGTAAGACATTTTTTTTCTACTCTTTCACCTTTATCCTTTCTATTTGAGGTATGCTTGTCCTAAACTTCCATCAAACGGGTTTTTTAATATTGATATCTCACGTCCTTGCCTGATTTTCCTTGAAGATAAGACATTCAATTCTGAATATATCTCTTAACAATAATATTTTATTAGTTATCAAAGGAATTGCATATTTCCCTTATCTCCGTCCTGTCTGTGTACCACTCTTCCTAAATTTCACTCCCTTTAGGAGACAACGAATTTTAAAGCTTCTATTTAATTCAGATTTGAAGATTTTGAAGGAAAATGAAAAGTTAAAGTGAGGGGATGGAATGAGAGGTGAGTAGAGTGGCATTTATCAAATCTAAAAACATACCCATTATTCAATGTTTACTGTAGAACGGAGAAAAAGTAATGTTTTTTTTTATGTATTTTTAGGATCAACTTAAATCGTACCTCATACAATTAGAAAATGGTATTTTAACCGCGTGCGGACAAGTAGCAAATCCTGATGTTCGTTGCAAGTTTATACGGTTGTCGGAAATAGTAAAACTTTCTCTTGCCACTTTAACCGAAGGAGCAAACGCCGGTGATCAAAAACCCTGTGCCACAGCATGTGATCTCAACACAGAATGTTCTATAAAACACAACGGTTGTGGAGACGTCAAAGAGTTACTCTGTGCGATTGAAGAGGGCTGTGCATCTGACGAACCGTGCGAGTGGGCCAAAGAGCTTCTGGTCAGAGCGAAAAACGCCATTCACCGGCTGACAGATGACGTTGACACCCAAACCCGCGTGCTATGTCGATACGAAGCCGATATCAAAGATCTAGCACTGGAATTACAACGCAAAGCCGAAGACATGATGAAAATGGAGTGCGAAACCAACGCGATGCGAAACGACCTGACCAACTTGGCAGACGAGTTGAAAAGAGTTATCGCGAATAGCAGTCTGATGGATTCCGATTTGGACCGCGTGACTCGTGAATTAAACGCGAAAAATGCCGCGTATGAACAACTATTGAAAAAAACGGAAAACCTGGAAGACGAGTTGGTCAATATGAAATATTGTTTGAACATGCGAGTTGAAGAAAACCGGACGTTGACCAAACAAATCACCGAACACAATCAAACGCTCGACGGCTATATCAAATCGAAACAGCAGATGGAATTGAAGCTAAATGAGATTCAGCAGAAATTAACCGATAACGAATCACGCAACAAACAACTGGTCACGGATCACCAAGCGTTAAAAGCACGACACGCCGAACTGGAAAACGATTTGAAACGCGAGAAAGCGCAGAGTTTAGAAAAAACCAACGAGATTGCAGATTTGGACAAAAAGTTAGTCCACTTGAACAACATAATAAACGGATTGAGCAGTAGAATTCAGTTAAACGAAGACGAAATCGTGAAGCTCACCAATGAAAAGAAAGCAATGGAACAGAAAATGGTTTGCAATACAAGTGAATTGGAATCCACCATAAAGAACTTAAAGTCCGAAATAGCGTCGAACAAATTAGAACTCACGCGGGCCAAAGACGATCTGAACGCCGAGAAACAATCGAACATACAACACAAGCAACGCATTGACGAATTGCTAGGGAAAATGAAAGAATTAGAAAAACAGTTGATGAGTCACAAAAACGAAAACGAAGTGTTGAAAAAGAAAATAGCTCTGTCCGAATTGGACCTGTCTGAGTCTAAATCGTACGCTGAATCGCTGAGCCGGAAGTTATGCGACGCCAGTAACGAAAATGATAAATGTAGACGGCAAAGTGTGTTACTGAGCGGCGATGTTGAGTGCAGACAAAAAACGGAAGAAAAACTCAAGAAAGAAAACGAAGAACTGAAAAAAAAACTGAAATTGCTGACAGGAGAAAACTGCAAAAATAAATGCGAAATTGATGAGTTAAACGAACTACTTAAGTGCGCTAAGAAAAAAGAGATATGCGTGCGGAAAGATCTGATCAAGGCAAACGACACGGCGGCACAGTTAGGCGAGATAATAAAATGCATGGAAGTCGAAATGCGGTGTTATAAAAAAGAACTGAACGCCAAGTCCGAAAAGCTAACAACGTGTACGGAAAAACAAATGCAAGAAACCAAACCGCAAAAGTGTATTGACAAACCATTGAAAATCAAAACTGAAAAAGAGTCATGCGATATCAAAGACACCTGCACAGTTGCAGAGAAAAATATTGATAAAAAAAGAAATATTCCCACTAACGACGACAAGAGGAACCTACAAGAAGCGACTATGGGACAGGAGAAAACGGGAAACAAAATTTTGCCTGAACATTGTGACCGGGATATATTGTTGAAAGAAAATAACAGGTTGTATGCGTTTTTTGTTAATATCGAATACTTGAATCTGTGGTAGAAATAACTGATGTGTCACTGTGTCAGTTTTTATGTCAGGCTATAGTTCATAGCATTAGCTAAAGATAGAGCGCTCTTTGATCTCATTTGGTAAAGAATTCAAAGATTTTTTTGCCTAAAGCTATTTGCAGATCGACTCATATTCCAGGTTTTAGTAGTATAGGAGATCAAAATGCTGAACACCACTCCCATCGAATGTGATGGCTTTCTTCAAACAATCTGGATTGTTATTTAGCATTTTCAAATATTGTTTACAAAGTCCTAAGCGAAGAATCATCTGTTCCTTCCACATTTAATCTGCTTGGATTTCTCACTTTTTAACAAAAAAACAGATGAATTATCGTGTGGAGATTTTCAATTAATTGCTGAAAATGGTGAATGTCGATCCATATTAATTGAAAAAGGTTACCACATGCGATAAGAATTAGGCTCTGCGTCATCGAACAACTTTTGGTAAAAAAAATCAAACATCTGTGAGTTCTTTATCAAAAGAGCTCAAAGAGGACTTTTCATTAATGAATCATTTTTCTCCGAGCGCTTGATAGTGTAGTCCAGAAATACGATAACTACTCTCAGTTCTTTTAGGACACTCCTTTTACAATATATTTTAAATATCAAGTACAATAACTTTTTTGTTTTATGATACCCGAACCGGAACGATCACTATTGCTTTCAAAGACTTGTCGGAGAAAACGTGAGGCTTTCGAAGACTGCCCTGGAGCTCACCACCGAAGTGGAACGCTTGTTAGAGATCACAAATATTCAAAGGGACGCTGACATGGCGGAATGCAGGTTGAAGTCCGGGAACGACGTCGAAGTCAAAACTTCATCCATTGGCGTACAAACTACCAATTGTTCGTTAAATAGTGATGATGTGGAAACACAAGGCTGTGCAAAAACCAAATGTGACCCATGTACTAAATGTCCTCCCGAAGAGTCAAACGCGTGTTCGTCGATGGACACGCCTTCTTGTCAGATCGACGATTGCGGTGGCTGTCCACCTGATCCTTGTTCCACGATTAACAACGATTGCGTGACCAATTACTTGGAGAGACAAAAATTACAGTGTCAATTAGACGAAATGAAAAAAAAAATGTGCGAACAGGAAAAATCAGCGCAGAAAGCGATATGCGACGGAGAACGCAGACACTTCCAAATGGAAATGGAACTAAAAGCGTCATTCGAAAAGAAAGAGGCCTCGCTCAATGCTCAGTTAGAGTCGTATGAAACAAACTTGTTGTACGTGCAAAGGGACTTAAGAAAATCTCAAGCTCGCGGTAAGTGTACACAACATTGGAAGTCTGACGGGATTTCAATGTTGTATTTTTGTTTTAGAAAAACAAATGTGTGCAAAAATAGAAGAGCTAAACGAGACGATTAAAAAAAAAGAGGAGATCATCGAATACGAACAAAACAATTGCATGAACATAATCGATAGATTGAACGAATGTAAAAAACGAGTCGAAGATATGAAAGAAAACAAAGCGGCGAACGATCAAAAAATCGCTATGTTAGAGGAACGTGTCGACTTTTACATGTAAGCGCAATACTGAAGAAATAATCGAATATTCAATTTTTGTATTTAAACAATTTTCCTTTAGGAAAAGTTGCAACCACGAACGCAAAAAAGTAGAATCATTGGAAAAGAATCTAGATAAGACCCGCAAAGTGGTGAAAAGACAACAAAACGCTATAGGTCAGGATACCGAAAAAGGCGTATGTCCTACGATGAGATCAAAAGGAGGTTGCAACGACACTAATAAAAAACAGCCAAAACCTACAAAGGCTCCTAAGCGTCGTTTGGATTTACCTTGTTGTGTTGGCGCAAAAACACCGTGTAACAGGCAAAATATGTGTAAGCCACAAGCCCCAGCAGTTCCGGCTTGTAAACATCAAGTAGCGGCCCAGGTAATTTACATATTAAATGAAATGGCTACAACCCTTCTTTGTTGTAATACAATTTTTACAATAATTTAATACGTCAAAAACGACAAAAATCAAAGAATTGAAATTTTAAATAATTTAATTTCTCCAGAAATAACATTGCTATTCTTAATTTACTATGATCGATATTTTGATTAATTTGAGGCCAACAAAAGTAGCTTTTACATTGAATAGTTTAAATCGCTTCGTATAAACGAAATAATAGATATGTTTGTAAGTTTGATAAATTTCCCTCCATTTACCATCACTTTCTCTCCTCTTTCTCCAATCTAAGATCAAGAGACAGTTGATTATGGCTGCTGATGAGAGGGATCGGCGATAACATAAGACGAATTAAACCCACCAAATCTGGATTAAGTCCATGAATTTAGATAACTGAGTAGTCAACAACTTATGATAAGAGTGTCTCCCAAACTGTCTACACCCACATCCCTAAATTATTTCGCAGGCCAATACAACAGTGGTTTCTTACACGCCTTTGGCCAAATCTAGTTATCCTTAATCGTGATTGAAATTATTGTCTTATCATATCTGATCTCTAATCAGCTGTATCTTGTCAAACGTAACCGATTTTGTGACATGAATATGTCCACGAAAATTTGGGGATCCCCATAAGACACGTACACACCATAATATTAGGCCAATACAATGGTTAGCTGATGATGTTAACAGAACGAATATCGTTTTTAGTGTTTACAAGGTCGGCTGGAAATGATGGAAGACCAACAGGAAGCCGGCGAGCAAAAAGACGGCGAATGTCTGTGTTTGAAAAATGCCGATGCTTATTTGGAGAACCGGTTTAAACACAAAACCAGCTTGATCCGACTTTCGGATCACAAGTACGAACATCATGTCGACAACTCCAGAGCGGACGATCCATACAATGAACTGCCTTTCGAGTCGTACAGAGAGAGCGATCCCGTGAGCCAAGAAGTACAGGACAACTCGGAATTGTACGGCCAAATGAAAACATTTAAACGGAGAAGTGTTCTCGAAGATAACGGAGAAATCATTAAGAAAGTTCCGACGGAATTCATTAGTTCGCTGCGCGATGACTTGAGAAGTAAGGTCGACAAAAATCCTTACTGTGGCCAGATGGACTGTTGTAAAAACTAAATGAACTGACACCGTTTTATGTAAAACACCAACGCTCGTTTCAAGATGAAATAAATATAATTTTAAAAGCAAACTATTAGTTTTTTGTCTTAATACTCTTTGGTCTTGTACGCGAACTATAGGTGGTGTAATGTTCAAGACATTTTGAATAGTTCACTTCAAATAAGTCTAGCTATTAATAACCATCGTGGGCCTATAACTCCCACTAGTCGAAGGACATGAATATTTAACCGTTGCAAATACATTTTTGCGCCAAAAATTATTTTGAAAATTTCTAATCGAGGTGAAAAAGTCATTTTTTTCTGGGCACAACTAATTATTTGTTTCCGTGGGTCTTTTTTACACCCCGTTTGCTTTTAGTTGGGCGATTGTAGTGTGATATATAACTTAACCGACAAGAGGTAATTATTGTTTGCATTAAAGATTAATTCTATTTAAATGGGTAAATTAAATACCTATAATTATATTTAACTTTAAAGACTCACTCCTTAATTAACTAGACAAAGATTTTACTTGGAACTTTTTTAGCTAAGATCATAATTTTGTATAGAAGAAATAATTGAAAAAAAGTGTAGTTTAGATCAACCCGTGTAGAATTTATATAAGTCCATCAAAATTATACACCACTGTATCTTTAAAACATGTATATTTATAGTGTATTAAATTCAGATTTAAAAAAAAACATTTTATTGAACAAAGTTGTTTAGTCAATTATATGAGTAATAATTTATACTAAATACGTACAATTAGTTGGACACTTAAAATAATGAAAAACAAATGGATTTTTAACGTTAATTAATAATTATATTTATTAATATTAATAATATTAATTGATAACTACTAACATATGAACTGTTAATCAACTCTCTATAGTTTGTATTCTAAAATTTTAATTTTAAATACACTTTAATACTCAAAGAACATCGCGATGACACAATTTTAAAATGACAATTTTATAGAAAAGCATTTATCAAGCATTATCAAGTTTATCATACAATAAACATCTAAAGACTGTGCTGTTTTTTGGTTTTAGTTAGTTTAACTAAAAAATAGAACAATATTGCAAAAGTATAGGAGTTCAACCGTGTAAAAAAGCTTAATGTATTTCCTGAAAATTAAGATATAAATAAAAAAATAGTATTTCCACAAAACATAAATTTACCCAAACCAAATCAAATATTTTACTAAAGGAAAATGGCCATCTTTTTTTTATCAATCGTAAAAGGTTCAATAACGACTTTAACTTAATTTTTATACTTACCAAACAAATTAAACTGATAATTTATTCCAAGAACAATCTGTTCCGTGTAAATGCAAAAGCAAAAACCTGTGACTTTGGGAAAAAAAGTTTGTGTCCTTTATCGGCTTTTTTTTTAAGAACTTACCTTGTCATAATATCATACTCGGTAAGTTTAAAAAAAATATTTTAATTACTCAATTATTTTCAACAAAAAGTATTGTATTCTCTGAATTGTTTCACCAATAATTTTCAAAATAAATCAAAAACAAAGTCATGGTTGGAATTTTTTTTTAATGCCTCGAAGAAAAAAAAAAGTAAAACATACAATAATAAATTGTCAAGTGTAAACGGTTAGGTCAAGCGGGGTTTACAAGACTTTTTTTTTCTTACACCAACAATATTTTAGTCAATAATAATAATAATAATAATAATAATATAAAACAAAAAATAAAATTAATAAAAAAACAAAAACAATCAACTGGGTTAGAAATTATTGTATCTCTTGCCGGGATCCATTTCGGGCACATGGACGCGTTCCTGTGGCCTGTACGAGCGCGATTTGTCTTGTTGGTCTTTAACGCGGTTGTTGTACCTTTCGATTTGCTCCTGAAGTATTTGGTGTTCAATCTAAAAAACAAAAAAAATGAACAAACCTTTTTTAAAAAAGTTCATGTAAAATTCGAGAAACTGTTGTTAAACAAACGACATTAACACTAAAATTCTGTCTCGACAAACGATAAAATTATAGCACAATATAATACATACCATGGCTCGCTCTTCGTCGTACTCCAAGCAACCGACCCCGTCCAGTTTTTCCAAATTGATCCGTCCTCGCCATTGGACGCAAACCCCGTTCATTATGAACGGCGACAGAATGTGCACCTGGAAAATAGAAGAAAAAAATAACCAAATGAAAAATAAATCTTTGTTTATACGATAGACACCATAAAAGGTGCCTTAATAGATCAAACATTAAAAAAAAGTTCACCCTCCCCTCAACAAAATAAAAAAAAACACCCAAGAAGGAGGACCCCTATATAGGAGGGGTGGACTTTTTCTGTAATTCTCTTTTTCGAGAAAAGTCTTATAACTTAAGGGAGATCTCATATTGAACTCATTTTTTTTATTTATTAAGGTAAAACCAAAAAATAAGGGGGGTAAACTGTTTCCCGAGGTATTACGGCGTGAACAAAATACATGTAGTGCGTTCAAAGGGCCCAAAAGGGCTGTTAAGACACAATATGAACACAATAGAATTTTACACGGGCAACGTCATCTGTGTCGTGTGTTTCGAACCCGTGTGCTTATAGGTGTAATCCCCGGGCAGAGTGAAACACATTGTAAACAAACGAAATTCGATTCCCAAACATCTTATAATATTATCACGACCCCCGTTATATGTCGACTACCTGTGATTTTAAGACGTCCCTATTATTATTACTATTACAATGTATAAAAAAACAAAATCAGAGGCGGTGAAACGGATCCAAGTAAACAAACACACGGTTTTATGTGAGTGTGTGTGTACACTAAAATTATCGGCTGTCGATTCTGTTTAACGTTCTCAACCCTTTTGCGACCCTCGGAAGGTATATATAATAATAGTAGTCCGTACTGGGTAGAGTTAACCCGTACCCGTTTTGTGTACACAAACGCAAAACGTTTTAATGACCTTAAACGCTGCACAACCGATAAACGATAACTGGACAAAAAGTCGACATGTTTCTCACAGCATTAATTTCTATCAATCGTATTGGTAATAACTACGGAAAATAAGCTAAGCTATTGCAAAAGGGATTGGAAGCAATTTGTTTTTTTTTGCCAAAAATCCTTGCAAAATGTCTACTACATAAGATGGTCCCATTTCAACCCTGTAAAGAGGTATGAGTTTAAGGTAAAAAAATATTAACGATGACAGACACTCAAAGACTGTCTCTCTTGTGCTTGGGCTTTTTTTACCACGTTTTTTACCGGTAAATAAGTCCGGGAGGGTTAACAACCCCCCTAGCCTTCCCGGTGACAAATCCTAAACGTCGAAAATCGGGGTGTTTAACCGCTTGATTCTAATCGATTCGTGTCTCCGATACGGCCGCTTGTAAAATATTATATGAATTATTGTCGTCCATTATCGCTATTGCAATTATTATTATTGTGTCCCGTGACGACACAGGCATGCGTTACAGCTATTAAAAAAAATAATAAAAAAGGGTTCGGACACCGGACGCCCTTTTTGTAGAACAACCCTTTTGCCCTTTCTAACCCGAAACTGTCTCTATATAGTCCGTATGTAAACGTGTTGATTAGATACGACGCGTTTGCCACACGACCGAGCCCCACGCAATATAATAATAAGATATATACAGTATGATATAACAGTATGTAACATCATCCCATACGATATAGACTTGTCAAAGGCCAGCGCGTGAAATCTATGAAACGCTTTTGCACGGTAAATTATACACTTAATCGACGATCGGGCAAAATTAGTTTGACTAGAAAAAAGAACCCGACCTTCACCAATAACGGTGCTCGTAAATCGTTCGACCCCAATATTATACTATACCAATGCGGTGAAGTATAGAAAAAGGTTAGGTACGCGACAGCAGTGTGTTATAGTAGGTACCTACTTGGCGATAGCAACACTCTGGAAGGCTTGGTGTTCACTTGTTATAATTATTTTATTTATTTGTGAAAACCGTATTGCAACATTTTTGTTGGTATTATAATTGGGTACTAAAAATGTGCTAAAACATGATTTTAAAAAATATTTTGATGAAATATCATAAACATATTTTTAAAATATAAATTATTGCTGTTTAAAAGCAACAAAAAATTACAATTATAATTAATCCCAAATGAATTATTTGTGTTTTTGATAGTTCAATAACAAATAAAATATACAAACGAAGCTAAAGTTACCTAATATTTAGTACTCAGCCCGAATTAGTTATTGAATTAATATGTAAATTTTGACTTTTTTAAATTTGAATAGCTTGTTTGTAAGCTAACGAGTAAAAGTTTAATATTATTGGCGTTATTGTCTTTTTTAAATTAAACCGTAGTAAAAAAAATTAGTGTATGCATTGCTTCAACGTTCAGGCAAATCGCGTGGCTTTAAGCGGTATATGTTGTATACTGTATGTAACACTAATGATATTGTACTTGTGAACTAAAATAATTTTTAAAATATGATTTTTGATTTCAGCAACTCGGTACTGTAGTACACGGTATACAGGGTGAGCTGCTGCACGTGTGTGGTCCGCGTATACGTATTACACCGTGTGTCGGTCAGGTCGATTTACAAAACAGTATGAGAGCTGATGTTCGTGCACTTATTATTATAATCGCGGTCAAAAACGGTCATCGACATTATTATAATAAAAAAATACAACATTATGTTATTGTTGTGTGTACAATATGTGTTTTCCGGATCAATGTGTTGCATACAATATCAATGTTAATCGATATACGCGACCGGCCGGCCGGTGTAGTTGTGCGGGAGGCGCGCCAAAAAGGTCGCCTTCTTTTATTTTTTTGCTCTTTCCTATATATTTTTTTTCTTATACATTATACTTATAATTTTTTTCTTATTATTTCGCCGGGGTGCTCGACGTTCCGGAAGTAATGACCACGGACAAGAGACCACCCGAACAGAGAGAATGTTCTCTTCTCCCGTGACCGACCGGTCCAAAACCGCGTACGGGTATCGCGTATCCCGGCTGCCGTGTGCCACCATATACACTAGCCCGTGTTGTATCATATTATATTATTATTAGGTATGTATTATTGTGATTACAATGTTACTGTGCAACGATGATACGTGTACCCGTGTACCTGTCGGTGGAAAATTATCTGTCGGTAGCCGGACCGCAAGCAACCACCCTCGACGACAGCGTGTACACCTAACCTGATAGGTATCTATCGACTATCTGGACCCTAATTTTTTCATAAAAAATGTCTCTGTCGTTAGATTTTTGGAAATCGTATCTCCCATTGCGCAAAACAAACGGCTGATGGAACCTATTTTTTAGCCAGTCTTTAGATTAGTGAAATTCCGGCCAAACATGTTTAAACGCCCGAAAGATATTTGAGTGGGGTTTTTCGAGATGTAAAACCAAGAAAATACCATAAAACCTTTTCCTCTAACTTAACCTAACCTAACTAAAAAGAAATACCTAACTTATTAGAAGTAATAAATTATTTCTAATTTTTCTATATATTATTTTATCTAATAAAATTGAATATTTTCACCTATTGATATTTTCTAATTATTGTGAATATTAAAATCGTTGCGATTTATTTATTTATGTTACAATATTAATTTTTTTATTTTTGTTATAATATTATTACACCTAACATATTTTCGAAATCAACCGGTTACCAATCATATTATGTATATAGATAGTTTTTACTTGAATTGTTTGAACAACTGCTTGCTATTATCGAGCGAAGGTAAGGTTTTCAAAAATGTAATAATAATTTATATTGTTTAATCGAATAAACCACTTATAATATAGTAATTCGAATTTGAGTAAGGTGTACCCATACCGTGTTGAAATAATATAATCCTGTAGAAAACCACGATGTCTTCGTGAAAACATAACGATACTTGCCCCTCAGCCCAGACACTTTGGATCCGGGATCGGTTTCTGGATTCCCCTGGACAGCCCGTTTCCTCTTATTATTATTATAATTTTTTTTTCTTTCGGTTTGCGGTTTAAGGCATCGCGGTCACCGTTACAATATGAAATACACAATACATAGGTCTATCATGGGAATCACGGGGTGAAGACAACCGCACGGTCGTCGTCGCAGTCCAAGGAGTTCTGTGGCTATCCAAGAATCTCAGATCCACTGGAAAACACCGCACTACAATACATTACAACACTTGCGGGGTGTGTGTGACGAGAAATGAAATAATTAGCCGGGTTTTTTCGACCACAAAAATCGTTGCACACGTCCGACACACAATCTCCGGCCGGCACACAGACAGTGTGATATCCAGTGACGGCGGCAAAACCGCATTCCTACCGCAACCGACTCCTCTATGCGACATAAGCAAGCATAATATAATATTCTTCTGTATAATATGTACAATGTCTAGGAATATCGAGTTTGCCCGTCTCGGATTTCATCCCTCTCGCCATCGCCATCCCTATTGTTATTATCATTATTATTACACGCAGATTGTTGTCGACCCACGCTTCTAAGTCTTACTTACTTAGACTATACTTTTTTGATAAGTTGTTGAACATGACTGCACTGTATAATCCAAGTAGCTTTTGTGAAAGCCTACAGTTTTTTTTTTTAGATAATTGAAAACCGCCTGTCTGACAAAATGTCTTATTTACAGATTGTACAAAAAAAAAATTATGAAATTAAATGGGAATAAACGTGTATATTGCTCTCCTGTTATATTATGCACGCATAAGTACATAATTTAAACACGTCGATATCGAATAATTGTTTTTTTTTTTTTTTTTACATTGTTGTCGTTGATTTAGCTTCGGATCGAAGGGTTCAGACAACCATTATGTATAATGTAGAGGATACAAAAAAAAAAAAAAGAGGGCAAAGGGGTTAACGCAATAGACCGCCTATGACGGTGGGTGGCAATAAAATCGCAGCTCCGTAGACAGATGTCTCTTAATAAACTTATCACGTCGGGGAAAAATATAATAATAATCACAATCACAATAAAACCAACAGTGAATACGTTTATAAAAAAAAAATAATAATAATTCTGTAGTTTTCGCAAGTGTACCTTGTCAAAGGTGGGTTTTTTAGCGGATTGAAATGCCGGACTGCACGCTGTGAGAGTCAAAGAGTTACTAATGCGATGACAAAACGTACCGGGGGTCGTAAGGGAAAGGTATATTTTCTCGGTCGGGGGGTTGTGTAAATAAATAGGGTAAGTATAAAAAAAAAAAAATTTTAAATTACTAATGTAATTTTACTGTTTCTTTTTTTTTTCACCTCCAGCTGAGAAATCCTTCCGGCGCGACGCACTCTTTAATCGAATCGTTATGTTTAACTACATTATGTGTGTCACCGATGGGCGTTTTTTTTTTAGGGAAATATAAAAAAGGAAATACTTGTATATATTATTTTACATAATTTTTTTTTTTACCGGACTACCGGTGCTATTGACGGAGTCGGCGGACACTACTAATAATCGCAAAGTGACCACTGCAATATTATAGGCGTGACTATAATATTAGCATGACGACAGATGACTATTGTTCACGCACAAAACACGAGTAAGGTCATAATAATAGCCGTGTAAATGTTTGAATAATAATAATACCTAATTAGCGAAACGGCTACAATAGACAGAGTGCAAAGTGTTGATATAACTAAACATCCAGTCGGGGTAGAGGAAGGTTTGTTAATTGCTAAACAGTCGGACAACGTGTACCTAGGTTAATTTATTTGAATAGGATAGATCAAACGCGAGCAATGAGTATGACCCTTGTAGAGGATTTTAGAAGCAGTTTGGCGGTGGTGATGTCTATTGTGTAGGCCAGACGAAAGGTCGCTGAGATTGAGGTGGCTTGTGTGTGTTAAGAGAATAGAATAAATAAAATGACTACATCTTCACCCCGTTTCGCTAACTTCTCTCGTCGTACTGGTTCTTGATTTAATTTGATTGATCAGAATTTCGGTCAGACGTGAGACGGCAGGTATTTGATTATTTTGCTTACTAAGCACTGCTTAGGGCGTTTTGTTTGTTTGTCAATAAAATACACACGATATTATATTACTGTCCACTCGGTCAATTTGGTGTCACTACACGGCTACTGTTGTCGAACGGAGTGTGACGTGTCGATATTTTGTCATGTTATTATAATAACTATATGACACGATACTCTCCGGTTTCACCCTATTAACATTCGCTAAACGTCACGGTCTAAATGCACATAAAAAAATAAAATAATAAACTCTTATTGTTTCTCGCGCGACGACAGACCGTGCGTTTGTTACGAACGAACAGCTCTACATACTCTACCACGGCCAAAACCAGTTAACACCCCGAGAGGGTGCGCAGGACATTAAAATAATAATATACCTATAAAAACGACAATGTCAAACGATTAAAAACAATCGGGGCACTCCCCTGCTTAATGTGTATAATTCGAGCACAGTTTTCACTAATTCCCAATTTTCCACCACATGCCTGGCCATAAACTACATAAAGAATGTCCAGCTCTGACTATAATATTATTGTAATTCAGGCGCAATACTCTGAAAGTGCATCCTTCGTGGGCACATAACGATATCCACCCGTTTCTTCTTTGGTCTACCTCTGTATCTTGAAAACCCCTTAACACTCATGTCCCACTAGTATTTCACTTTACCTATTCATTCAACGCTCCAAACCTTCTCACTCTGTTCTCTCCCAAACTTGCTCTTGTCCACTCATTACTTATCCTAATCACTCAGATCTCTTTCATTTGTCAATAGTACTTAAATGCATCTATTCTATTTATTTTATAACTTGTACCGTTTGGCAAGGCATAATAAATATTGTAAAAACATTCTGACACAACACACAGGTACACAGGCGGATAGGTTATTTTTTTACTTTTTTTTTTTTTGTAAACGCGCAACAAGAAATCATATTGTTGTTTGGCAGCGACATTTCACATACCTCTAATATTATTATTATTATTATTGCCTGCAGTGTCCGGTAGATTTACGGAGGGAAAAAAAATGTTGGCTTTATGCAACACTACTAGGTCCTGGTAGTGTAATAATATCTGAGTGTGTGTGTACAAACGGGAATACACCGTAGGGTGCGGCGATGCATAGACATGTGAAATCAAGACCCCGTGTATTATGTATAGGTACTTATACCTACCCCCGACCCGCCTATCTATATATTATATTATGTTGTCAGTTCTTCGGAGTAAATTTGTCAGGGCTGTCAAAAACACGAATATAATATTGTGTAAAGGAAACGCACACCTTTTCACGGGTAATTTTGCTATTAGGTACCCCCGGCGACTGTTGAGGGGGCGCGTGTTCTGCTTTTATCCAAAAATAATATCATATTATTACATTAAATGTGTTACACCGTGAATGAATGAAACCATTCATTTTATAACTACTGCACAGCGCCGCCTGATCCGGTCGTTTCAATTACCTATTAATAATGTCCATATACGTTCAAATAGCATACTTATTTTACTAATGTAATCTTGTATGGAACACACTCGAATGAGTGTACCTACATTGGGAAAACAGATTAGAAGTCGGATCTATTATTGACGGATAATTCATATATTAGGGTCATTTAAAGTAATGGAATAACTATAGATAAATAGTTAGGTCGAATGAATGTTTAGTTAAAACAACAATTTCACCTAAAAGTTCATATTTTGCATTGTATACTATCGCGAATAACAATTTTGATAAATTTAAGCCTACCCGCAATAAATGAATGTTAAAAATAGTTAACAAATCTAATGTGGACACTTTCTTGTAATAAACAAACAACATACCTAATAAAATCTATTTGATATCCAAAAAACGAACAAAGAAATTCAGGCCGAAAATTACCAGCGATAATTTAAGTCCATTAACTTTTGTAAAAAAAAAACATAATTAACTAACCGAGAAGACAAAACATAATAAAAAACATATTTAAAACAATTACACATCATTTTAAGTATTTTGTACTTCTATTTTTTAAGTATATATTAATTGCAAAATGTGTGTAAGTACCAAATAATATGTATACTGATTTGTTATCTTTGGATATCTTTTACTTCTCATACCAGTAATAATTTTGGATTTCGATTAAAACCCAACACGTTGGAATAGAAAATAATAAGAGTAAAACAACGTTAAAAAAAAATTGCTAAAAAAGAGAAACGGTTAGGTCATTGTGACGTTTACAAAGGACTTCCGATGTGTAGCTTTCAATTCGATTCGTTGACAATAGTCACACTATTGGGGTGCATAAACAAAATGGCGTCGTTTTATATATGTTATTCGATTCCTCCCCTCGTACAAAGGCGTTAAACCCTCTTTTCCGTCAGCAGCAGCAGCAGCAGCACCGACGGCGTATCGATCCGCATTCCCCTTGGCCGAAAGGTCTTCCCCCTCGAGAAAGAAAAGAGGGAAAAATATGGAAAGAAAAGGAAACCGACACCAGATTGTCGAGGGACCATCGTCTCGTATGTACGGCCATTGCGCTTTAAAAAATCCAGTACTCGAATAGTATAGCTTTTATGCAACGAAAGCCCAACACAACCCTTCCAATAGGGGTGGAAACTTTTCCTATATTTGCGCTGTCTGTCTGTTTGAACTTTACAATATTAGACTACACATACAATATAGTAAGGTAAGTAATTATAGTTTTAGGATAATTTTGACTAAGTAATGTATCTGATGTTGAAGTTTCCAAAGATATAAATATACCAATTTTTTTCTTCTATGCCAGGCCACTTAAATAATAATAATAACAACCGATTGAAATCCTTACCATTCCGCGTTCTTTTTCGAAATCGCAATAGCCAATGGTGGGCTGATGGTAGGGCGTCATGGCCGGCATGTTTGGAGTGAACATCAGTTGCAAGTTCGTCCCGGTGTTGGCAAAAGCCTGAGTGAAAACCAAAACAAAATAAACAAAGTTAGTCAAGTATTGTCGGCGAGGAAGAAAACAAGCGGCTTTTGACTTACAATGTCCACATGGCCTTCGCGACAACCCATTTGAAAACGATTTTGCCGTTCCTCGTGCGGTCTATCCCGGTAGCTAGTGTACCTCACCTGTAATATATGCCAAAAGAAAAAAAATAATTTTTAATTTTTGTACTTGTATTGACACGATTAGGTTAATATTGTTTTGGCGGTGTAAACGTTTACAAATCAAAAGCAATTTGGGAAAACAGGTCTAAAGTGCATGTTCGTCCTGATTCCCAAGCTTTTTTTGGGGTTTTTTTTTTTTTACTAATTTCATAACGTTTTTTTCTATAATCCTAATTAACGTAGGTACAGCTGTCTAGGAAAAAGTTAAACATTTTAAAGGATGTTACAACGACAATTTAAAACATGAAAAAAGATTTAATTAGAGCTTGTTGACAGAGACATTAAAAACTTTTCCCTTTACCAGAGTTACCGGAATTCGGCCAATATCCCGTCTTTGAATAACGCCCATCGATTATTGTTAACTTAGCTGTAAGAGCCGTACTAGGAATTTCAATTTTGATAAATTAACAACACCCAAATCGAATTACCCAAATGGCCTTATAGAGCTTTAGATATTATTGTTGAAACGCATTATTAATCAAACGATTCAATTTCATTAAAACGATTTCATTCTGTTTTAAAGTAATCAGTTAATAGATTTTTTTTATTATATACTAATTATTAGTATATAGCCTATCGGTTTATAATGAATTTAAAACAAATTAACGAATTCATAATTAAGTGTACATTGATCGCAAATCAATACATTTCAATAGTACTTGTACATAAAAAAAAATAAAAATACATTAATTCTGAAACCAATTTTAAGTACAGCAAGCACAAAATATTTTGTTTCATTTTGAGACAGCACACCCTTATTTGTTAAGGGGTTCGGGATAGGCAATTTTTCGCAAAATCTTTGTTTAAATCTTAAACTTAAGTGTGGATTAATAGATACATTTTTTATCAGATCACCACAGCAGCCCTAACATTTTTTTTAAAACATTTTTCTAATTAAGTAAATAAATAAATGTCATGTAAGATACTCAAAATATCAATTTTATATATTATAAATTTTTGAGATGTAAATATGTATGATTTTTTATATATATATATATATATATATATATATATATATATATATATATATTTTAAATATTTTATTGAATTATTTTTTTAGTTAAAAAATGTTTTTCGTTCAAAGCGGCCTTAGGAAAATAATATATTTTTTTAAAAACCAACATGCCCAAACAGTATTCATCCAAAATATAATACTGCGTTTAAACTTCCTCTCCATCGATGATAAACCGAGGTTTAAGCGAAAGTATAACAAATTACATCAACTTAATCTAGCCTATCCAGGGAATTCGTATTGAAATTAAGGAGACGGCCGACTTCTCTTGTGAGAGACTGAAAAACCCAATTTTTACTTATCTCAAACATTTTAATATAATTAATTATTCGACAAACTGACGCGACTACTATAATATTTATCATGGAACAAATGCTGTTATATACAGAGTGATCAACTTATCGCGAACTACTCAATATCGCACTGGGTTTAATAAGGAATTACATTTTTTCCAACTTTCTCACAGTTTTTTTTGTTTTTACCCACCTCTCAGTTTATTTTTTTTTGATAGCAAAACTTAAAAGGTAACTACTGGGTTTCACAATGCTGATTTTCGTTTTTCAATTTTTTACTTTCTACCATATTATACAACTATTATTCGTTTATTTCTCGATAGATAATAATAATTTCACCATCATATAATTTTATATATATTGAGTTTTTCTATGTGTACAACATGTCATTATATGGTTTTGACATTTTCTATTGTTGTAATAATTGTTTTTAAATTAAATGTTTAGTCAAAAATAGTTTTCTAGTCGTAAAACATACTATATCCATTACAAAAAAGAAATCGCCGTTATAATGATTTTATTTGCTATAACATAAGAAATTCACCTAACCAATCTAAAAATAATAATTTCAAAATCCGATTTTATATGCAATGTTTTTACATTTGGATTCGAAAAATCCGGATTAACATCGAATGTCGGATTTGGGATTCCAAAAAAAAACTGGGATTCTCCAAATTTTTCCTACCACTACTAAGATGTAGCTCGTGTAGATTTTTTTTTTATTTTCAAGTGGTACTCACGTCGCTCTCGCGGCTCAGCCGTTTGAACAGGTCGTCCGTCTGGAACTTGTTCTTCTGGTCGGGCACGACCCGGGGCATCTTGAAAGCCATCCTCGGCGGTCTTGGCATCTGGTGTTCGAACAGGCCGGGGCACATGGAGTTGAACGGCAACATGTTGGCCGAAGCCATCGAACCGAATTCGTTCATCATCAGCATGTTGTCGGAGACAAACAAAACGATTTAACGCGTTAGGTAGGTAGGAAACGCAAAGCAAAGCAAAGCGCCCGTTCGAGGGGGGTTCGATTTTGATAATGTTTCCCGTGCTGACACCGATCGCGTCCCGTTTGACACTGGCAGCCCGGCACCAACGGCCGCGCCACCGCCGGCAGAGTAGTCGGTCGCCGTCCGCGTTCACCCGGCCGGGCCAATGAGAAAACGCGGGCGTGTCGGAAACGCCTGTACCTACCCAGACCGTGTAACAGATTACAAGAATAATTATAACCGGAAAACGTTACACCCGGCCTTGTTATAGTGTATAAAATAATATACATACCTACATTACACCTACCTACTATAATATTACCGGGTACAAAGCTTTATGTTTGCATAATAATAATATTCTTTAGGAATAAAATGAATGCTGGGTACTCTTAAGATTGGTTAGGTGCATTTAATTCTTATATAGCAGATAAAATCGTTATAAAACGGCAATCATTAAAACAGGAAAAATGTGGAGAATCCCAGTTTTTTTGCGATCCGAAATCCCAACATTCAACGTTAATCCGGATTTTTCGAATCCATATATAAAAGCATTGAATATAAAATCGGATTATGAAATTATTAATTTAGGTTGGTTAGGTGCATTTCTTAAACACCTATAGCAGATAAAATCATTATAACGGCAATTTTTTTTTTGTAATGAATATAATATGTTTTACGACTAGAAAACTAATTTTAATTATAAACATTTATTTAAAAACAATTAAACAATTATTACAGCAATAGAAAATATCAAAACCATAATGACATGTTGTCGTTATATAGAAAAACTCAATCTATATACAGTTATATCGTTGTGAAATTATTATTATCTAACAAATAATAGTTGTATAATATGGTAGAAAGTAAATAATTGAAAAACGAAAATCAGCGTTGTGAAACCCAGTTACAATTTAACTTTCAAAAGTTGCTATCAAAAAAAAAAAAACTGGGAGGGTGGTAAAAACAAAAAAAACTGATCACATTACATAAAAAACCTACGTAGAGAAAAAATTAAATTTCTTATTAAACCCAGTGAGATATTGAGTAGTATATGTATATATTCACTTTGTGTGAATGAAATATAAGGCAACAGATTCTGAAAAATATTGTCATTATGTAATTGATTTGTCTATTTGTAACAACGGCGACGCATTATGAGTAAAGACCTGAACGTTCAAGCCTAATCTTATCCAGCCAAAATATACAATTTTAAACACAATTATTTTGACTTTAAAACGCTTCTGTCGATATTTAACATTTCCACCTTAAATTTATCTATAGATTAGCATCGAAGCGTTAATTTGAAAGTGATTTTGTTACCTCCCCGGGCCCAATGTACCTAATCCGGTCCTACTGTGCCAGCTTTGTTTTCTATTTAATCATTCAATTAAACACTTATAGGGGCCTCAAACCTCATTGCCTATACCTAATTACCGTTTTATAATTTAGTACCTATTTGAAACATAAAATAAGCAAAATTGAACAATTTCGTAGCTTTAATCACATTTTAAATTATATATTTATTCTTAAACGGCAGGATTGCATAAAAACATTCTCTACCTTACGCTTTATTGAAAAATGGGTTTGGGCCAGATTTTGGGCATTAGGCATGATTTTCAACTGTTATTTACCTGTTCATAATAATACTTGTTTTAATGATTTTATTTTCAATATCTATACAGTTTTATGAACTATAAAACGTAGGGACTTTTTGACGGTATAGTTATTTTCTAAGAAAAAAAAATAAGAAAAATTTAATTTTGAACAGCGCATTTAAACAAAAACATTTGATCAGATAACGGGAAATTTGTACACACCTTATTAGGTACACTAAGCTTCATAAAGCCCTGAAAATTATTCAGTCCTAACAGTATAATCAAACAAATTTAATAAGGCAACAATAACGTATAATGTATAATAATGTATTGACAAAAGTCCTTATATCGTACCTTACATTGGAGTTTTGATTTGATGCGATCACTAACGTTATGACTTGTTTTATATATATTTTTTTGTTATAAAGTTTTCAAAACATTTAAAAAGAAGTTTGTTTTCTACATTAGTGTACATGCCTAACTCGTACAGCCCACCCATTTTATATGTAGGCATTACGGATTAAAAAAAGCGAAACCTCCTTTTTAATCACACACTAGGTAGGATTTATAGTTTTATATTTCATACGCTATCTAGTTGTTATAAGTTTAACCAACGACAGTTTATAATACAGGCAGCAGATGGCGTGACAGTAGTAGGGCCACAAATCCAAAACGAAAATGTCTCTAAAATTCTCAACTTAACACTTTTTTGACAAAGCACTGACTAATTTTAAATAAAATACCTAACCTAACCATAATAGATTAGGTTAAGTTAGGTTAAGGTTGAGACAAGCTCATGACGCCCATTTTCGCATATTCATGTCAATATTACTAAGTACTGTAACAATAGTTTTGTATATTAAAAGAAAAATATATGTTAATTCTTAGTTATTACCATTAATTCAGTATTAAAAAATATCGACTTGGAGCTGTCCTTGTTTATTCTTTTTTTTAAATTATTTATCCTACACTATTTGAATGTAGTTTACCTGCCGAAAAGTAACTATTTAAATTACACAATACTTTGGCACGACGTGACTTGGAACCCGTTGACGAATTGAAACAACAATTCTATTTTTTTACCTAGGAAATATTAATTAATGTTGAAAATATGTTAGGTATGAATCGCTGAACCGATTTATTCGTGTAGCAACTCTATAGATCAGAAATCATACCTGGAAGGTACTTTATCTGGCCAAAAATTTAAAAAAGACACCCCTTCCCCATCAAAATCGAGAAAAACACCCAAAAAATGTACAAGTTTTTCAACTTAAAATTACGATGCTGTACATTAACTTTTTTTAAAATAGTCGAAAAAGTCCCAAATTTATATGGATTGTTCTTCAAACATAGTACTATCGATAAACATTAACAAACCAAAAAAATATCATACATTTTTTTCTTTATTTCACTTTTTCAAGCAAAGTTTTAGAGATTTAGATCTGAAAATTAGACCAAAGGTAGATCTAAAATGGAACTATAACATACAATTTTCTCAAAAATCTGTAGTCATTTTTTTTTTATTAAGGAAAAACACCAAAAATAGAGTAAATTTACACTTTGGTTGTAGTCAGTTTCTAGGTTGCTATGTGTGAGTGAATCGACAGTCAACAGGTAATGAAAATATTTTCATTATATTGTCAATTGCGATGAATGGGTAACTATGACAGTACATTTTTAAAGACAGACGATCAACCCTTATCGTGTCCACCCTGCTCAAGACTAAATATTAAATTTTAAGTACATTATTGCTGGTCCACGATATCTTCTAAGCCGCTATAACTGGTTTGAACATACTATCCACAGATTCGTTAATTTAAAAGTGAATTTATCACTTTCAGTTATAATAAAATCTGTATTCCTGTGACCTCTCCGCCCCCACTACGCCCCGACCCCACAGAACTGGGTTTTTTTCTTTTAAGTAGTTTGTGAAAACCAAAATTCTACTTAAATTTTTTTCTAGACATTATAACTCACTGTGATAAATAGTGAAAGCGAATACACAACAAGTCTGCTAGCTGTTATATAATATTGCTGGCTATGCTATACAAATTATTTAAATATATATATTTTTATAAAGCAAAATTCGATTATAATGTTGTACGTGATCAGAACCCGTTGAATCAAGGCACTTGGACTCTGCTCGTGTCTGTGTCTGTGTGATTGTGAGTGTTTTGTGTTAAGCGTGTTAAGCGTGTTATGTTATGTTTTCGCCATGTCTGAAGAAGCAGAAGAAGCGGCCACAGAAACGGTCACCGAACTAATCCGCCGGGCCCTGGAATGCCCGGTGTGCCTGCAGCTGGCGTGCCGGATCCGGTGTTGTTGTTTCCGCGGGCACACCGTGTGCGACCTTTGCTTCGACCGGTTGCTGGACCTGCACGAGCCCACGTGCCCGATGTGCCGGTCGCCGATATCGGCCACGCGCTCGACGGCCGCCGTCGAGACGGCCCTGGCGAACATCGTGCGCGGCATCAAGACCTCGTGCAGCTACCGGCCGCTCGGTTGCCGACAACTGGTGGCCATACCCGACGTGAACGCGCACGAGGCGAGCTGTCCGAACGCGCCGGACGCCAAGTGCTACGTGTCCACGTGCCAGTGGACCGGGACGCACGATCAGATCTATGAGCACGTCAGTTCCGACCACCCGGGATCGGTCGTCGCCGTTCAGGTAACATTATATATTATACTTGTAACCGGAAATGACGGTCTTGTCGTCCGCAGAGCAACAGATACACCGTTCCGGACGTCCGCGCCTTGTTGTTGCACCGCGTTGGCCGGCACAGAGCGTTCCTACTCAAGGACGCGCGGGATAACATGATGTGGGTGATCTTGTGCAGGGGCGTGCGCAGGACCGTGCGCGTGCACATGATGTTGGTGAAGACCGCGGCCCGGCCGGCGGACCGGACGCGAGCCACGTACCGCGTCAGCACGGGCGGAGATGTCGCGGACCTTTGCCGCGGACGGCGCCGTGTCATGCTGTGGGACAGGAACGTGGCCGAGAACAGCAACGAGGCCTTGGCGTCGATACGTGGCCTTGTCGTGCGCCAGAAACAGTACAACACTTCGTTGACCATCTCGTGGAACATTAGATGAGCACATACTTCGATGAACCAAATTTTAATATAAATGTAATATAATGTGTCGGATAACAATATATTATTGTCTATGATAAATAGTTTATTGTAACCCACAGCAAAATAAGCAAGTAATTTTACTATTATTAGTAACCATAACAGCGTTATTGCAAGTCGTTTCTCTTCTGATTCAATTAGCTACGACAATGTTACCATTTTAAACTTATAATCTCAACCCAGGATTCCATTAATCTATTTATATACAAATTAATGTATGTTTGTCTGTATGATATTGAACGGTTTTACATTTGAAACCATCTCCAAACATTTTTTTTTTATAAAACCAAATCAATAGCTATTAATTTATGTATGGAAAATTATGAAGAATCCAAATATAATTATAATAATATGTTGTTACGATGCAGTGCGGTGAGTGGATAGTTGTATTGTCCTATTTCTATCATTACTATTGTTATTATAGTAATTATTCCTAGTATTATTGCGTTGATTATAAATATAAACTTAGTGACAAAAAGCTTGACCTTATTAAATAATGAGGATAAAGTAGACTAACTGAGATCCACGTTTTTTAGGTATCATAAACAAAAAGGACATTTGATTAATTGATTTACAATTTAGGTAAGCCTAGTAAAAATTAATTCAATTTTTTAAGTTTCAATTAATAATAAAATGGACACCAATAAATAATTAGAAAACGCTTTTTTAAATATATTTCAAACGCTTCGATGCGAAACTGTATGATGATAAAAATATGTATTAAATAAAAACAATTTGTCTGTCAATAAATGTGTTGTTATCGATTTTCAAAGAAGGGGTAAACTTTTCAAATTGTTGGCCACTTAGCTCAACAGAGTATTTCAGGTACGATTTCTGATCTATAGACTTACTATCTTTGCTTGCTCGGGACATTTTAAAAGGGTCAAAGAAGTGAAATATACTCAAAATGCGTAAAAAAAGTATATGAGTAACTATTATCACATTCATCGAACAAATTTAAATAATTTCAAAATATTGTTTAATATATTTTTTTAACATGTACTATAACGATGTTTTGATACTAAATGTAATGGTAAAAACTGTCATTAGTAAAATTTTGTTAAAGAACGGTTTTAACATTGGGAATAATTTAAAACGTGCATTTGGTAAATATCATTTTTGAAATATTAAATTTCGCGCTAAAACGTCATAATAACATATTCGAAAAGTTCTATACTTTTACAACTGTGCTTATAGGCAACTGGAAATATTATTTTAAACTCGAAAAGTATTATTGAAAAAATATGACAATGCACTAAAATATTATGTGCGCCAAAAGAGAATACTTTTAGCGTCAGTATACAATTATTCAAATTTTGCCGCCATTTTACTACCGCACTTAATGGGTCTTTGGACGACGCTCGTTCGGTTTTACCTCCACGGCGGCTTACCCCCGAGGCGGTTTACCTCCACGGCGGCCAGAGCGCCTCCACGCGGTAAGCACCGCAATGACGATTGACGATAACAAACGGACGTTACGTTCAAACTACGCCGCTGGCCGCCATATCGCTGTCGATCATTGTTTACATTTTTCGCGGCTCGCAATAAATGTGGTTTTCGTTCGGCGCGGCGCGCTCCAACTTGGTGATGAACATAAAATATTGTTTTGCGTTTTTCCGTACTGACAATTAAAATACCCGAATTTATCCAGTCGACAGTCCGACACCGAACACCGTCGGCGGCCGGTCAACGTTATTAATGCGGTTACATCTCGGACAATGTGAGTACACCGTCGTTTTGTGTATTGGTCACATAACAATATTATGTCCATCGCATACAACAACAGTGTGCTTATAGATTAATAGTAACAATTATTTTAGCGTAGCACTGTTGTCTATTTTGAACATCCAAAAACCACTCTTGAGTCTGACAAACGAAATCTCTAATCGAGAAGCAAGTCGGTCTACTCGGTCGAGTTAGTCGGCTCGGTCGTTGATAACACGCAAGACGGTGCCGACGAATAGACCTTTAAGGGTTTCACGTTTAAACTTACTTTACAAGTCTTTATTTTTTGTTCTACATCAGCACAAAATGTGTTTTTTTTTAATGCCGATTATTTATTCAAATATCTGTTGACTCTTCTAGTTCAATAATTAAAGCTGTTTGAACACATAACTTAAATAATTACCGATGAAAGCTTGTATAATGATTGTACCTAATCGTGTTGGTTTATTTTGACTAAAGTCTAATGCTCTAAAACACGTCCGGTCACTTTTCCGTAATACTAAAAAACCTACCGACAAAAAAGTGTTAATGAAGATATTTTCTTTTCGTTAACATCGGTAAATCGACTGAGTGTGTACCTCGGATGAGTTTAGATCTTTATTGAGCATTTCAAATTTTTACTGTAATATTATATATATATATATATTATACTTTGTCCGTGTAGATAACAATGAACGCCGCAGACACATCTGACGCTTTGGACTTGACCAAAGAAAATATAAGACCATTGAGACAAGGTAGAAAACCTACACAACTAGAAACGGCTTTACAAGCACAATCTAATACTGAAGTTCAACAGAAATTGAACAAGGAAAAAGAGTATGTCTCGTTTTGGAAATGTTTTTGAATTTCGATGAAAAAATATAAATGTTTTTTTTTTTTTTTTTGTAAATAGCAAATATGAACACGACATCCGAACTTACGAAGGAGAAGACCCGTTGGCACCTCGTTTTGAATATATCAAATGGCTAGAACAAATGTATTTAACACACGGACCCGACAGCAATTTTTGGCCGCTCATAGAAGAAACGGTGCAAAAGTTCAAAGACGATGCAATGTACAAACAAGACCCGAGATTCATTCAAGTCCTGATAAAATTTGTAAGTAACAATCAATAACCACGTGAGAAACGTATGTACTTTTTCTTCAACTCAATTTATGTTTAGATTGAAAATCAACCAAATGCCGTCGAACTGTATCAAACCGTGTACAATCAGGGACTGGGCACGATGTGTGCAATGTTTTACCGCGCTTGGGCCGATCTTTTGGACAGGTACAACGATTTTAAACGAGTGGATCAGATATTCTTGCTCGGAATACAATCAAGAGCAGAACCCATTCAGGAACTCGAACAAGCCCACGTGTGAGTTACATTGTGTTTGTTGTTATAAAAATGTAGTTTTGTCTATTTAAATTTTTTGTCTGTCAATTTTCTAGACAATTCCAGCTAAGTGTCGCCAGACGAATGATAAACGGTGAGTTGCAGAATGACGACGACAAAGGCAACGAGCCGAACAAGAGACAAGCTTTTAGCGTTTTGAAGAAGGGCGAAACTCACACTGGAACCAGACGCGGTGTGGGTGGTATCTTGGGAAAAGTGCCGCAAAACGGTAATTTTAACGGAAAAACTTCGGCTTTAAGAGTTTTTGAGGTAAATGTTAGGTTTTGTAATGTGTATCCTACAATTCTTATAGGTAAACAATTTTCTTTTGTTATGTAGGACAACGATGAAAACGCATTACTTGGCGTGGACAACAACAATTGTAACCTGGCTACCAAGGGAGTGAACAAGGAGAACACTGTGAAAGCTGGACCATGGACGAAACCTAAGAGCAGCCGTTCCAAAGCTGGCCCGAAACCATTACCTTCAATAAACTTTGAAGGTGAAATTAGTACATGATGTATTATTTCAAGTGAATCTTTTCCATTATTTAAAGTTAATATTTATTTTTCAGTTCACCAAGACAACAATACGGAATGTGTGACAAAACTAAACGGCATAACCGTGCCAAATGCTTTGCGGAGTATAAAAAACCATGCAAACCTCACGTGTCCTGTTGCTGTGTTTGAGCCGCCAGATCCCACTAAGCGTCCGATGTATTGCAAAGACAAAGTAAGTTTTAAAAAAAAATACCTCCCAACACGCATCGTTCTTTATGACTAAAAGTGTTACGATTGCTTGTGAAAAAATACTTTTAATTGTGTCGTAGGTAAAAATGTATGAACAATATTATTTTGCATTAGGTTTATGCAGCCGGAAGAGACATCCAGATCGAAGAGATAAGATACGAGATTTACCTGAAACAGCTTAAAGAAAAAAAAGAGAAAAGTGAGTATTTTGACTTGTTAAGTTTCAAATTAAAAAAAAAAAAAAAATTGGTAATGGTTGCATTATTTAAATAAAAATGGAAATAGTTATTAAAATTAAAATTGTATTTGAATAATAAGTTGAATGCAATTTACTAACATGTTTTCAATTAATCATTAAAAAAATGTATACAAACATATTTAAATGACAAACAATTTTTAATTTTAATTCTAAATAATCTTATTTCAACAGATTATTTTAAGTTAAATAAAACTGTATTTCAAATAACTTGTTTTTAAATAATTATTTGTTATTTAATTTTTAAAAAAGAACTTGTGTGATTGTTTTAACATTTGTCTATTAATTTAATAGTGTTAGCTTCCCAAACCAACAAATCCCCATTGAGGGTCAAAGTTAAGTCTCCGGTCAAAGTCGTGATTGAAAAACAACCATTGAAAAATGTAATTCAATTTGACGACGACAATGAAAAAGTTTCAGCCAACAAAGTATGAAATATTTGTAATATTTGTTATAATTATCGTTTGACGCTAATTTTTTTTATGTTTAAAAAAAAATATAGGCTCCTCTTCCGCCATCACATCGAATGGAGTCTGACCCTATGTTGAGTCAGTCGTACACGGTAAACACGAGAGTAGCGATCGATCTGGTACAACAAATGTGGAACAGTCCGTGTGAAGGTTGTTATAATATTTTTTTTGTTTACTCCCTTTGCTTATCATTAATTATAATTTTTTTTTAAATTTCAGATAAACTGGCAAAGGTACACGATGTGCCGAGCGGTATCAATCAAGTGCCATTTGCAGGATTTAGTGGAAACAAAAACGGAGCCCATTCGGAAAACCCTACAAATTTTATGGTTTACGAAGACAATGCTCCTCCTGCATCTGCACCGACGGAAAACCAGAAATTTAGTGTGTACAGTGACGACGATGTCGTTAGTTCAAACAAAGTTGAAACTAAAAAAAATATTCCGGCCAACATAAATGTCTATGTCGACGACGAAGAAAGCGCTGCGCCGGCTTTGACCAAAAAAGAGACGTTTACTGTGTACAGTGATGAAGTCGAAACGAATAATGAAATTCCCGCCAACTTAAAAGCTTATGTTGACAACGATGAACTTGCTTCTAAAAAAGATGACGTCCAAGTATAACAATTATTAAACGTTTATATTAATTTAAATTTTCAGTTATTATCTCTTGGTGACATTTGTTTTGTTGTTTCGTTTCAGACTGACGACGACTTGACTTGTTCGACTAAAGCTTTTATTATGGTTTTGCCAAGTTCCACGCCATTGAATACCGGCGAGTCAAAAACCAAAAAAAACACTGGAAACGCCCTCAAACCGCTCAGGTAAATTTTGTAACTCTTCAAAATAGTTGATACCAAACACACATTAGTCAAAGTTTATAATTTTTTTTTTTTTTTAATTTTATCGTAGAGTATTTGATGAGGTCGAATCTAAACAATCCGAAGAATATCCAGTGGGAAAGAACCTCAGCATGATACTGGAAGCGTCCAAAGAGCGCAACAGCAGTAATTCGTCGGGAATTTCTACTCTCACGTCGACTCTGAAACCGTCGGTACAACCCACCAAAATCGAATTTGGTAAAATATAAATCTAAATTGGATTTTTAAAATTATGCAGCTTGCTGAATTTATTGTTGATTTTTGCAGGAGACAACATCAATCCATTCGACGACGATTTGATAAATAAATTACTCAAGGATGTGGTGAGATTTCCCGAAGAAAGACATTTAGGCGGATATTCTGAGATCGATACTGACGTACCGAGCATGCGGTCTGAGTTCAAACTAGGTAACCAAGCTGTGACAGAATTAAAAACAAAAATAATTTGTTAATCCGAATTGTTTGCGTCGATAGGATCCACAAAAATGTCATTCCTCACCGAACTGGGAAAAGGAACGTACGCTCGAGTGGTCAAAGCTCGGCCCGAAGGCGAGGGCGCTGCTGAGAGAGCGCTGAAACTACAAAAACCGGCTTGTGCTTGGGAATGGTATATTGGCAAAGAAATTCAACATCGTCTCACCGAATCGGACAAAGTAAACCAAACGCGTTTTTAAATTTAAACTACCGATTGTTTTTTTTTTTTTTTAATTTTTGTCCTTTACAAATGTTTTCAGATTGCTTATTTCGTGAACATGGACTACATTTATATGTTCAACAACGGATCTATTATATCGATGGAGTACGCTATGCACGGAACTTTATTGTCCGTCATCTTGGCTTACAAACAAGCGATGGTGAATTAAAAAATAAACTAATATTGATAATCGACAACGAATTAATCGCGGTTTTTACTACGTTTACAGTACAGACCCATTCCGGTTACGGTGGCGGCTCTTTTCGCTTCTCAAATCACGTCGGCGGTCAAGTACTTGCATCAGTGTCAGATCATCCACGGAGACTTGAAACCCGACAACGTCGTCGTCAAGTCTTTGTAAGTCTTGTTTGGTTTTTTTTTTTGTATTTACAGTTTGCAAGGTATAAAAAAACTAATGCTTATCATTGTCTTTTTATGTCAAAGGCCAAATTCATCGATGCGTCCGTGTGTACAACTCATCGACTTTGGGCGTAGCATTGATATGACTTTGTTGCCGGCCGGGACAACTTTTACGTATGCGGTGAAAACGGCCGATTTCGTGTGTCACGAAATGAGAGAAAAGTCACCTTGGACGTATCAGGTCGGTTGGGTCGAACGATCAGAGAACGTTGACAAAAACTGATAATAATTGTTTTTTTTTTCACTTACGACAGACTGATCATTACGGGTTGGCCGGTATTATTTACATGCTTCTGATGGCCGAATACATGAAGACCACAAAGATCCGCAAATCTTGGGTCCTGATGAAACCATTGCCAAGGTAAAATAATTATTTATTTAACAAAACGTTACATTGGCCGTTCCTTTATTTAATTTTTTTTGTTTCACTCCAGATATATGGACAAAGACTTGTGGTGCAGTATTCTGACAAACTTGCTGAACATCGAATCGTGTAAGAAACAACCCAATTTAGACAACATCATCGTGCAGTTGAACAAATATTTGTCGACCCAACAGAAAGTTATGTTGAATCATCAGTTTGCCAGTTTGAGGAACACTCTTCAAAACCATTAACGAGACAAAGGTTGACGGTCCGTTGCCAAAACATTACATCGTAGTTGTTAGGGTGGTTGAAGACATTTGTGAATTTTTCAATGATTAATTTTATATTTACTCTTAACTTTATCGTACTTTTTTGTAGTGTTATAATGTTTTAACATATTTTTTTATATTGAATGTGAATAATTCTGTTCTAACTTTTTATGATAATTTTCGTTTTTTTTTAATCTCCCTATTTTCCTTTAAACTACGTATATAACGTGAATTGGAATAATTTTTTTTTTTTTTTGATGATCAAAAGCATGTTAACTATTTACTTAAAAAATACATGTAATTTTATATTTATATATTTATAATTTTATGTCAAAATCGAGTGTCATAAAATCTTTTATATTATTATTTAATTAATCAGTGCAACTAAAAGTAAATCTCATATTTTAATAATAAAAGATTTATTAACGTTATTGTTATGGTAATTATTCGAGTCGTCCCAGGCAAACGCATTCAAGTGATAAAGAGGTACGTTTATTATCCAAAATTGAATTTAAACCATTAATGTTTTATTCGTTTATAGATATTTGTTGACTTAAGGTTTTTTCAAATAACTTTTTATTTGAAAAGTTTTGTCTGTAAAGTATAATTTGTTTAAAAAAATTTCATTTAACGGCATTTAATATATGAATTTTTATTTTAGTTGATTTTTTTTTTATATTATTATTATTATAAGTTTTAGCCAGGTTTTTATTTGAAATTTCTAAAACGATAAAATGAATTTTTTTAATTGTTTTGCCATAATTTTAGAAATAATAAAATGAATACGAGCATTTTAGAAAATCACTTAAAAATTGTTTTATTTTATGTAAAATTTGGCTGTTTTTTGTTTACCTCATGTGACTAGTTTAATTTTATAAAAACAGACGAGATTTGTCACATCAAATATGTAAAAATAAATTAATAAGGTGTCTTGAACAAGCTGGGCTAGACGTTATCGATTTTCGTTGGCTAAAAGTTGTATTTTATTTATTAAACAGAAATGAATAGGAAGATATAGTATTTATGATTTATCTTCTGATCACTTATGTCCAATCCGATCCAACACGTAGACTAAAATTTTTAAAAACAAATTTAACTCGTTACATATTTTATTTTACACATAAGTTATAACATTATTTCCTGACAAAATAAAAAAACAAAACGATTTTTTCAAACATGGCAATTTTTTTTATATTTTAAACCAAAACTAATTTGTAAAAATAAACTTTTTTGATCGTACAACCAAGGGGGGGGGCAATTGCTCCCCCTCCCCGTTCACAATAAAAGTATCAAATATTCCAGTTGTAGTTAATTGTGACTAAAATTTTGTTCATGCAAGTAATCGAGAGAGGGTCGTTATTGTATTTACCATGAACATTTAATTATTTTTCCATATTGAAAACGGCATTCGAGGCGCCACATTTTATCTACAACCGGTTATTTATGGGGTTTGACACAGTACACATACAAAGATATACGATATGACCTGCTGTATTCTACGATTTTTCGATAACACCAGCCACCAAGTCGATCTAATTTTAAATTAATATGCCGTACTACAGTGGTTTTATCGCTGCTTGCCGTTAGTTTTGTTTTGACAGTAGTTTAATTTATTTTATAAGAAAAATAATATAAAGTTATTATATTATGGTTTATTTGACAAGAATTAAAAAAAAAAAAAAGTATTGTAGCCAAGTTATCGCTATATTTGTTGGACCCCGTCTCACAAGTCGTGTTTTGCGGTGACCAACATAAGATTTTACTGAATCATCTAAAATCAATCAAACCTAAAAAAATCATTAGTTTATTAGTTAATCTAGTGCCTGATCGGCCTTATTGCTTCCGCATCGCATAATATTATCATAGTGTATTCGTGGAGGAAAACCATCCTCTAGGTAACAATAATATGTTCTACTGTGTAGTGTTTATATTATTTGCTTGATCCTTGTGTCCTTGTACGCGTATAATACTATATAACATTTTTGAAAATCGTATATTTTTCAGGACACGAGTAGGTATAATATACCTAAATAATATAAACCTTAAAATAATTATTACCTTATAATTTAACTTTTTTCATAATTATTTCTTGTCATCTAACATCGTTTGTATAATTATTATGATTCTCGTCGACCTATTCGATGTTTTTCCTTGACAGACTTGATCTTCTTCATGTTCCTCTTCTATCGAAGGTGGGAAATCGTCATGGCTATATTATGTTCTTTGTCCTTGGCTGCACTGAATAGTTTTATAAAAAATTCAATTATCAAGACTATTTTTTTCATTGGTTTGGCAACGCCGCATTGTATTTTTATGATCTATGGCAAGGACCGAGTCAGCGGTTTACCGTAGTTACTAGCATAGACAAGTATACTAGTCTGGTTACTAGTCTGTACTCTGTTTGTCATCGGTCATTCTGTTTTTGTTTTATAATTTCTCGATTTGTGTCAACTCCCTTTTTTCGGAATTCATTAAATAAGAACATTTATTTCAATAATTACAATAGCGTATTAATTAATAAATTATTTTAATATGAATATTCTCACAGACAATATTAAAAACCGGAAGAAGTAAACAATTTTGATTTTCGAGTCATTAAATGTTTGATTTGTCGGAGCACCTTTATGTTGACGCAACTTGCAAGTATTACCTACCTATAATTTGCACTACAATTGTATTTAAAATCAATATTATTTTCAACAATTATGATAAATATTACTACACCTAGGTATAATTTCATTTTTATTTTTACTCGTACTTGGAAGTATTTAGATTCAAAAAGAACATTGTCAATGGCGTACTTTCTTTTTGGCTTATGCTAGTATTGTACCTATGTATGTTATACCTTATTTGGCTTTGAATGCGTATCACGGTAGGCTGACAGAGTTACTTAAACAAAAACCTAAGTAAATGTGTCACAAGTCAAGACCAAATATTATGTTTACATATAGCTATTGCCTGTTTTTACAGGCCTCGGTTATCTGGTAATCAATATATTATATTTTATTAAGATTTGTTTTACTGTGATGGTGTATTTGTTTTAAATCGATTAACGAGAGAATAAAATATGTAGTTTTTTATTTTTATTTGACTGCAAATACAGTAGATATATCATGATCGGGTTTATGATGTCGCGCCGTCATAAAAATACCAAAAATTATATATATATATATTTATTGATTAAATATATCTTAAAAAGTCAACATGTCTTTGAAGTATCCATTATTAGTATATTTCATACGAGTTACGACTTAATTTGTCAAAAATCAAAGAATTTTCATTTGAAAAAATAGATAATATTATGCTCTATAATTGGTCGATGTTTTTATTTATTTACGTACAGTTAATAAAAAATATCGCACGTATTAAATAATTACTCATCTAATAGAGAATAGTAGTCGTATTGGTAAACCTTATAGTTAAATAATATTCTTTTTAAGAGGGCGGGCAGTACTTGGACTAGGATATGTTGAAAAATGTCCGTCCAGCACGCGCTATCTGTTTGTCAATAATTTGGCCTATTCTTGATTAAGTACGTTGCAAGACGTGAAACCAATTAGGAAGCACACAAATTATTGCGTGGGCTCTACTTGTGTAAGAATACTGAAAGACAAGCCACCGGTAAGCACACTACGTAAATTTGATTGTAAGTAAATTGTCTATAATGGTAGTAATTTTAACCAAACAAAAAAAAAAAGTGCGAAAACACTATAATTTATAATTTGCTTGAAATCGACGCATACATTATATAATTAAAGGCCCCAAAGTTTGTACTTAACAAATAAATTGTATTTAAAATTGTACAACAAAAAAATTATGTGTAGGTAATGATTTTGTAAATTAATATACATACAGATATGTAAAACACGATCATGATATTCATAATGTATTTAACAAGTGATTATAAATGTAGTTATTTGTATTATTAATTATTTACATAAAAAATACGGCAATACCAATTATAACTATTGATTATAAATATTATAGAATATAGATAGCCCACTGGCATGTATTTTTTGCTACGCGTGAATTGTTGCCGTTGTATACAAGCTATACTGTTTGGCGGCAGATACCCTGATATTATTTATAGTCAATGTTATAACTAAATTCTGAATTATTGTTATTTTTTAACAATATGATAAGTGTTTGAATATCTTGGTAAAATATAACTTAAACGTGGTTCTGGGTGATCATTTTTTGGTAAACCATCAATATCTCGTATGGTTTAATAAGAAATTTTTTTTTAGCATGGAACATCATGCTTTAGCCTTGGCCCCCCAGACCATATACTGATTTAGTTAAGTCTTTATACAATATTTGTTCTCACCAGTTTGACCTTTACTCGTACTTATGGGTTATAACTTAAATGCTAAACTATACTTATATGTTTAGCTTAACTGATGAGAACGGGACAATAAACATGTATATATTTAAGTGTTGATATTAAATAATATTTCCGTAATTGTTAAATTACCAATACGCTTAAAACACCGTGAGCCCATTTTGTTTTTACCACTGTACTCTTAGTTTACTAGGAGTAACTTATTTATTTTAATAGTACCCTATTTCTTACTGAAATCAAACTTTTCTGGTGTCAAAGACAACAGATAACAATATTACCGATATGACTAGGTATTTTTGGAGTGGAAAATTACATCATGTAAATTTGATTTTTTTTTCATAATTAATTCTTACAGAGAAGAGATGATAATTTGATACTCTGTATTTTAATTTAAATAATAATTTTACACTAATCTTACCAATAGTGCTTGGATATATTTTCTCTAAAATGACTTTGTACTTCTTACGCTTGCTGACATGATAAACTGTGTTCAAGTTACAAATTCAAAGTAATTACAAAAAATAATTACACAATTACAAATATTATTTATAGCACAAGGTATAAGGTTAACATTGAAAATAATTAAACAACATAAATATACACGACACAATTACAAAAATACAAATATTATTTAAAGCACAAGGTATAAGGTTAACATTGACATGGATTTAAATTTTAGACTACCGAAGTAGATGAAAATTATTACACGTTGAATATACATTAATTATTGTACAAATTAAATACACAGTTGACAAATTACTAGTTTACCAACACACCGTAAACAATAGAATGTTGGTAGTACCTATGCAATTCATTTCACGTTACCGACAGACTGTGCACCTCGTTTGCGACATATTTTAGATAATGCATCTACTTCTTTTTGTACATTAAAATAAACATGTCATATGGCTGGGGGTCAACTTCTAGGAAATGACAGGGAGGTTCTGTCTTTCATATAACCCTTTCTCCCGGATAATTATAATAATTTATTACTGGTCAAGATCGATGATCTTTTCTTCTTTATTAGAATACGGACGACGTCCTTATCTTTCGAAGCCGGTTCGTGTTGGCTTTCCGACGTACGATCATTATTTGTAAAATTATAAACATCATATTAGAATTAATAGACGATTCATATGAAATTGCACAGAGATTTTTATTCAAGTCGGGTCTGGTTTTATTCCAATTGTTTTTTTATTTACTTGATTTACGATATTAACAACAATTCCCTGTCCCACACGAGCTAAGACAATTTTTGCCATCACCTTTCTTCCCTCTATCTTGTTTTAGGTATAGCC